CACACACACACACACACACACGCACACACACACACACACACACACACATACACTCACACGCATACACACACGACAATCTTTACTCTGATGTTCTCGTTTAATATTATTAGCTAGAGTGTTTTGTTTCTTTAATTTTCTCAGTCCTTCACTCTTCTCCCTCCTTCCTCCTCATGGCCAAGCGCTCTTCCTTCGAAAGCTCTATATGTCGAATAAGGTGTTACATTCATATCACTGGTGTCCGATTCTAACTATGTATACACCAAATTAGGTCGAACACTTTTTGGGGGTCTCAAACTATGATGCCAACAACCGCGATTACAAATGGTTGTCCTATAATAGGTAAAAATAATTCTCCACACAAATGACTTGAGAAGTCATGGAAAATTATGAGAAAGACATTTCATTACATAAAAAAAATGAAAAGGGTTGACCTAATTTGGTGGATATATTGTTAGAGACGGTCACCGACGAATTATAACCACCACCCCTCCCAGTTGTTCAGCTGGAGCGATTTCTCTTTAGTGGGTGATTGGCAGGTGATCTGGTGTGATTTGTTCCTACCTTCTTTCCTATCAGACATCTATCGCCTTTATATCTCGCCTCCCTCTTTTTTCTGTATGTTACTCTCTTGTAACACATCTATTCTTCGGCACTTACATGACCTTATTGCGTTGCAAGTGCCGTAACACTCTTACTAAAACTAGATTTCTCTCTGTTGAACTTTCCAGTTGGAAAACCTGACGTTCTGGACGTTCCGGAAGAGAGACGTACCGGAAGTTGTCTACGAGGTCAACAGTAATACAGAAAGTCGCACGGACCCCGAGGTGGCGGAAACTTCTCTCAACGGTGACGCCCCCGTCACTCCCCAGGACTTCTCCGCGAGCTACTGTTGCCCATTATGCCGTATCCCGCCAGTCCATGTTTTTAAGTTGTCCATCCAAGTTACTCTTTGTCTCCCTTGGCTCTCCTGCCTCATGTTCTTCCTTCAAGCACCTCTTTCACAATGGCCTTGTGTCGTTTAAAGTGGACATAGTATTGTATTTTCTTACATTTTCATTTTATTCAGTTGGGTTTGTCGTGTGCGGAGAATCTGATACACCTCAATGTCAGATAGAACATTGTAATTCTGAGGTAGCGGCTTGAATGGCACATTATTTTACTGTACACCACATTCCTTTATTGAACTCCACATTCCTTTACTGAATTCCAGATTCCTTTATTTCATGCAACATTCCTTTATTGAGCACCACATTCCTTTGTTGAACGTCAGATTGCTTTATTTAATGCCGCATTCCTTTATTTAATGCCACATTCCTTTATTGAATGACACATTTGTTTTTATTGATCACAACATTCCTTCGTTGAATGTCACATTCCTTTATTGATTGCAACATTCCTTTATTGAACACCATATTCTTTTATTGAACACCAAATCCCCTCTGTCTCCCCAGGCTGTTTGTGATCGTTTTGGTCGGTGTAAGCATCGCCTGGATCCCTCTCATCAAACAGTCTCAGGAGGGACAACTCTTTATGTACATCCAGGCTGTCACTGGCTACATCGCTCCACCCATCTCCGCCATCTTTCTCTTGGCTATCTTCGTGCCCAGGATCAACGAAAAGGTCTGTGCCTCATAGACAACCTAATAGTATTGATTGGGGGGGTGGGGGGGTGGAGGGGGGTTAATCATACCTTTTCACATTTCAGAACGAAAAGGTCTTTGCCTCTTAGATAACCCATCATCATCACCATTACCATCATCTTTACTACAACACTTTAATATGAATTTTGACTCGTCGTCGTAACCACTATCCCTCCTCCACAGGGCGCGTTCTGGGGCGTGATTTGTGGTCAAGCGACAGGCATCATCCGTCTGGTCCTGGACTTCATCTACCCGTCCCCGGGCTGTGGTGAGGAGGACACGAGGCCGTCAGTGGTGTCCGGCGTCCACTTCACCTACTTCTCCATCATCGTCTTCATGGTCACCGTCATAATTGCCGTGGGCGTGTCCTTGTTGACCAAGCCTCAAGCCAGGATGGAGGTCTGTCTGTCTGTCTGTCTGTCTGTCTGTCTGTCTGTCTGTCTGTCTG